TTTACTTGGTGACTATAGACTGTGTCGCTTTCATCGGTGGTATAAAAATGCCCATTATTCCTTCCATTTCATGCAGGATGTTGCATTTGATATAATGCGTTGCAACCAGATATTCTTCTTTAGATATCGACTTCGTCTCAGACTAATTTGCTGTAGCTGGTACAACCAAATTTCCGGCTTCGCCTTGCTTCCAATGCTCCATACTTAATTTCGAGTAGCCTGTTTTTTATTGACCCTTCCCTTTTTATGCGTGTTTTGGCCCCAATTTCTTTGACAATGATTGCATCTGGTTTGAGGAACAAGGATCATACACCTAAATGGTAATGCAAGCGTAAGTTTGCTTCGTATTCATAAACAACTTACGTTGTCAACTTTAGAGTCTCATTGCCAGATTTTGTTATCTATATTTTATCAATCGCCATGTCAGGTTCGACAGTGAAGTGTGTTTTACTTATTTCAATGTAGGACAAATTTAACGCTGCATATTTTTGTTTGGGCGGTTGCACAGTGACACCAAGATTAGGTTACATTGACCCAGTTTCTTCTAAAGTTATTTGTCACTTGTCTATTTACTGGCAAATAAGTCTCTGATAGCATGAGATGCCCCATTAATAATGACGAGAATGAATTCACAAAAGTGAGAGTTTGACGGAGATTGGAGTTTTTCTTTAGGAGGTTCAGCGAACAGATGTTTTGATTGTAAATAAACGCCCAAGTTTGTGCTGCAAGAGGGAGAGGTCATTCGAGAAATGGGTTGAACAGGTTCAGTAACCCACGTCACTAAAGTACGCGTTCAAACAAGTACGTATTTGAAAGGATGTAGATGACGGTGACGAAACGTTTGCAACCAAACTTCCTAGCTCAGCGGACAAGCCAACGACCATCTACGCTACCTGAGCTACCGACATTCTCCTCTATAGAAAACAGATTTGTGAAAGCCCAGGATGCTGTCAGGTAATGTTGTCACTCATAGGGGGGAGTAGGTCGGTTGATGTCAACTCCTTGGTTTCACCATTGGAACGTAAGCTGGAGTGAGATAGGTTATATCGGTGGAAAACAGAGGCAATAATATTGATCCTTATCCAGTTCACCCCACTCAGAATACATCCACCCAATCGTCCCTTATCAAACTATCGGACGTCTATGCACATTTATTTTCCAGCTGACCATTGATCCTTAATGTGGTTTAACACCAATTTCCGAGACTCCATTCCTAAATGAACTATTTCAGATATGTTTCCAGGTTTACGAAACAGTTCAAACGCTTCAGAGATGAGACACCGCTCACGATTTGTTAACGTTTTTTTTACTTTTAGAAAATAAAGCATTGTTGAATAAAATCGTGCCATGAAATATGTGTTTATTCAAAAAGAACGAGAAAGCCTAGACAGACATGGGTATAGTGATTTCTAGTCGGAATATCTAGACACAACTTCCTTGGAAAGAACGAATGGTGAAATGAGTGACTGAAACAGATAGTCGTATGAGGGAACAAGTTTGAAATAACCAATGCGATCAGCTCGCGAGCAGCACTTGGTAAGTAAATAAGAAGTAATGACACGAGACAGTTGATCAAAATGTCGTATATTGACTTCCGTTCTGCCCACATGACGAGTTACTGTCAGTGCGTATGTCACCAAACCCCAAAATTGTAGGTTTTTAGGTCCTTCGCAATTGGAGGAACACAACTGTGCAGGCTGATTCCCGGTTGCTTATGCCTCGATCGCCGTTTAGCACTAATACTTTAAGAAGAGTAGGGCATTTGTATGACCTAACTAATTATTTTTCCGGGCTCGCTGCACTCGAAACCATTAGAGTTATGATGGTATTGTTGCTAACGACAAGGTTTTCATTCAAAAAGAGAAAATATTGAGGTTGGCAAGGAAACAGTGCACCAATTTTTGGTTTGACAAGATCATGATGGGTATTTCGATCACTCTGTTACATTGAATTTCGTTACAAGGTTGAAAAGGCTGGGAAGAAACCTATTAAATATTAGCTTCTGTTAGTCCACTTCTCCATGCTTCCAGAAATTCATAATCGTCCTCAACCATCCGATCCAAGGGACGCATTTTGAAGTGGTCCCGCTCTTCGGCCTTACAAGCAGACAAGTAACCATTGTCAGACAAAAGGATATGTTTAATCACCGAACGAACTACAAGATGGTTTGTACTCATGTATGCATGACTTGGTGTATTCTGCAGCAAGATTATTATTTGCCGCGCGGAGAAATTATGCTGTACGATTGCACATTTGCCTGTAACTGAAAACCGATTAATTTTTGGTGGATGTCCCGAAAGAAATATCCTTAGTTGCCACACTAGTCGGACGCCTTTCTTTTGACAAAGGATTTAAACTGAACTGGTGAGACAACCGCAGACGCAAAACAGCGTTTTAGCACAGTTATGGTTGTTTCATAAAGGAAACTACTCACAAGGTTGCTGAAAACTCTTCGACAGCCCACGACTGGTTTCGCCCTTCTTGGGACACATCATCAGGTAGGCACAGTCCCCGAGTATCCGTCAAACTTATGATCTACTTGAACCCAACTTGCACTGTTTTCAAGAAATACACTCATTTGCAAATCAATTTGGTTTTCACGGGAGACTCAATCGAATCTCTCGTTTATGATGTCCTCCAGCTGTCGAAGGGTTTTCAGCAATCTTGTGAGTAGTTTTCTTTATGAAAATATACTGCGATTTCTCGAATATCGTGCCAAGTGAATCATGAGGCGGCCTGTATGCAGAACATTCAGCTGGAGGACATCATAAACGAGAGACTCAATTGAGTCTCCCGTGAAAACCAAACTGATTTGCAAATGAGTGTATTTCTCGTAAGGCAATCTATGCTCAAAAGCCGAGAAGCAATATACAGCCCTTCTGTTCTTATTGGGAATCACTAGCAGGCTGCTTATCAGGAAAGTCCAGAGAGTCTCGGACGTGTGAACACCGTTCAACTACGAGCAACTGGTCAGCGGATTGATTAGCGCGGACTTATACAAAAGACATGGTGTTTATGCCAGAAAAAACAAATACCCAAAAAGGCCACATTTAGGCACCCAAAAGGAAGAAATTCTGTATTGTGATCTTAAGCAATGTGGCCCACCCAAGCAACACCATTCACGACGCTTTGACAATATTGATATTGTGCTTGGCAGCCTTGTGAGCCTGTCTACACGGTCGTTCGATAGCCTTACAGTCTAATGCGACAAACACGACTTCGCCAGTGATACGTTGTGAGCCTCTGGTCCTGTAAATAGTGTCACAAACATTGAACGATCCAAGAGCTAACCTGTAGTTTCACATGTGGTCTAAAGAGTCGCGTGTTACTCTGATTTTTACAGTAACAGCTGATGAACATTGTGATGAAACTGATCAAAACGTCAGAGATTTCTTTGTATGCGTACGATGGTTTTCAACATATTTTTACTGGAACCGGATTAAGATAAAGTGTGACAGGCTGTTCGTTTCACTGTTGACTGATGCACAGTTGGTGTAGAGAAAGCTTTTGCTTCTGACATGTCTTGAAGCGTAGACAGAAGGAAGCAGTACTGAAACCGTTTCGGCACACGCTTAGGTATACACAATTTTCAGTATTGTCGCACTCAAGAGAGAGATTTATGACAGCTACACAACTTTTGCCAAAAGAAGTTCCTGAATTCAACTTGCATTGGGACTCATCACGCACAGAGAAGAATTATAAAGACGTTATAATAGAGGACAAATCAAAACAACTGTCAAATCACATTTTAACCGCAGAATTTCCATTAGGCAGGAAAATACAGCGAGATGTTTTCGCCTTGGATAAAATTCATTTGTCTCAACCACAATACAAGAATCCGAAAGGCACTGTAATCTTGATAGAAATAATTGATCGAAAATGGAAAACACAAGTTCCAAGGTAAACACTGAAAAACAGTTACATACATGAGAAAATTAATCAGAAGAAGTCGCCCAAAGTCCTCTAAAAAGTAGTGAACATTGTTTGAGTCACGCAACGGTATGATGAATTTATCTGCAATCTAACCTGCGGTGGTTTCCAGCAGGTATCTTGCAGAGGAATATGGATACTTTTATAATTTATCAGTAGATTCCTACCCTAGTTCTTTATGTTAGTAACTCAGTTACGGTAGAATAAATGTGGTGTCATTGTGGGTGTCAATTTAGCCGCTTAATGTGCAAAACTTTGCAGTTAGGTTTGGATGCATCGTTCTCTGATACGGAACACTGCGAGTGCGACCAAAAATGAAACGCTTTGCGGATACGTAACAGCATCTTTGAGATAACCGTTGAATGGTGCCGTGGGGAATACCGGTGGATAATGCAACCGATTTCGGTGCGCAGGTCCAGTGCAGCAAATCCCTCATGGACAGTAAAAATGATATTCATATTAATCTCAAAGGTACAAATGATATTCATATTAATCTCAAAGCCCTGGAGACAGTGACTAGCTTAACACAGCACTAACTTTCATTTCTCATTATATGCTTCGTGGACTGGGTCGTGTGAGTGAACTGCACCATCGAAATTTAGTACAGATCAGTCTTACTACACCACAAACAGCGCTAACATCCTAGTCTCACTGGTAGGATGAATTGCTCACCTGGGAATCCTTTTTTGTCCGTTGATTGGACTGGTTCTCTTTCCGCATTTTTTCTGGATAACAAAAACATGCATTGACCGGGGCCGTAGTCACTAGTTTCAGTCAACTTATTTTGCCTATGAGATATGAGTTTTTATCTTGAACGTCACTCATGGTAGCTTAGCGCATAATGCCAGTCAGTTTCCACCGAAGAACAAATTGTCCGGCTGGCTGTTTTGTAGAATTCAGTCAGACACCTATTGAAACTGCCGTGCAACTGGAGATGTAATAAAATAGAATAAAAATGGACCAAATTTAAGTAGAATAAATGTCACACACTTTATGATTCAGGAGCTAAGTTGGTTTGACAGCATCAAATGATGGTTTACAATAATGCGAACGAGAAGACAATCACTAACCTGCTGAGATAGCTCAATTTCTAATAGCCGTGTCACATTGTCAAACTTCTCTGTAGACGGGCATCTCATGTAAATTTGATATGCGACAATTCGAACTTCTGTGTCCTCACTTTGGTCATTGAGGCACTTCCAGAGGATTTCCTGTTTTGAAAATGGAAGGGCGGCATGCCTTTGGATTCAATATAATTATATTAACGACCAGATGGCTTTACAACAAAATTCTGAAAAGCTGAATAAGAATACTGCAGCGTCATTTCTAAGATACGCGTAGTTTTTGGACAACTTGGAGTTTGCAAACTAAGTATGTAAAACCATTGTGACATACATAAGGCTGTGTAATATTATGTAGATATAGTGATGCAGTACTTAGGAATATGCCCCCCATTCATGGGGGGCATAAATCCAGATAAGCTTGGTAACACTGATTAGACGCACACGATTAATATACTCACCTCAATTTGCTGGATCTTGTCCGCCTCGCGGACTGCCTTAGCGGCAGCAACTTTTAAACTGACGTCGGCCAATTCATTACCTAAACAGTTCGCCAGAAGTCTTGATAACAATTCAGGGTGAACATATTTTCCGATGTTTCCGATGGCGTGCAGGACGGTTCTGACCTGCATGACAGAAAAATCAGGCAAAACTTTGAAATGCATGTGAAGCTTGGGAAGTACCCTTCCGGAATTTTCAAATCGTTAACTCAGCAATATTAAGATGGCTGATGCATCCCATTAAAACAGCATGTGAAACGACATCCATATTTAGACGACAGCAATATTCTACCCTAATGAAAATTTCCGGACACACTGACAACTTTATTAAATGTATGTGTTTATCTGTCATCACCACTTAACTAGTACAGTATTGTCACATCGATTCGAATCATTCACAGTCTGATCACGCTGTGCGAGATCTACTCAGCTAGTCTGATCATTAGTACACCATTCCCATTTGTGGCGGAGCGTATGAGTCAATCTGTCAAACACCATAAGCTTACTGATTTCAGACAAAGCTGCTGAAACCTGGCTCATTCTCAAACAAACGAATAAACTCTTGGAAACAAATCCCCGAGTATACATTCCGCTTTCGCCTCCTGAGGTTATCTATCTACCATGATGGATGTGCACCATTGATGTATATAAATAAGCCCACTTGTAATGCTCATACACAACGTTAGAAGAAGTTTCTTCCAGAAAGGACTCATACGACCGCAAAAATGATTGTGAGTTAACTGCTGCTCACCGTTGTGACATTCCATATTTCTTCGGGTGAACAGTTTTGGGGAACGGCGTCAAAGAGTGTTGCAGTTAAGTGACGAAGATCCAAATCTCTCATACAGTTGGTTTCCTTTTGACATATTTTTCGCAGAAGGATACTAACGAGCGTAATCCTTACGGGAGTAAATTCCTCATTTAGGTAGCTCTGTTTTGGACAGAAAACGCAACGAACAATTAGGCTCAGAATATAAGGAGAAATATTCTTGATCAACAAATTAAAGGAGGCAAAATGGAAAACAGCAACCCGTTCGTAACATAAATGTGAATAGATTATGACACTAATCAGCAGTTTGGAGCAAGTTTTACATCAAACTGAATATATTCAACCTTTATGCTTCCATAAAATTGGAACATCTAAAATTTAAATAAAGAAGAATAATATACTGGAGCAGTAGATTTGAGACAAGTCTGAGTGATACACACATAAATATCCAAGATATAACATACTTTAAGCCACTCCTAGGACAGGATACTATATCAGGGTCACTTCACCCATCTAACCATCAGGTATTAATCCTAAAAAAAGAACTTCAAAAGATAACGAACCTTGTGGGAGACTAACTTTTAGACATTTCAGTCGCGCATTTTCTTCAGTACGAGGCTACTGTGTAAAGAAGACGATTTGTGAACTATCTAAGTGGTCGCTTCTTGTAGGTGAACCGTATTTGAAATCCCTTGGTACGTTCTTTGGACAGGACTGATGCTCGTAAAGATAGCCAGAGAGATTAAAATCTCACTCACGCTTTGTTCTCGACACATTAGTTATGCCTTAGATAAAATAAAGGCCTGGGAAAATCCATATCACTTGAGTTAGGTTAAGTGTTGGTGACGGAGAACCGAAACAGTTTGAAACACAGAGACCCTCTAACCAATGATGAAAGAAGTGGGGCGATTTCCTAGCTGACATCGTTTTGCATACAGCCAGTGGGGTACTATCAGTTTCGCACGAAATCTGTCTAGGAATAAAATTGACAGTTATTCAGCAGCCCATGAAGCAATCTGAAAATCTTTCCAAAGGTAAAAATGTGCTACAACTTGGATGTAAGGTCAGGAACTTTGATTAATCTAAACAGGAATCTGTCGAAAGTGCGCTGGAATAGTTATCAAGAACGGAGAACAACAGGCGTTGCATATTTCAACTGTGCTTATTTCTACTTTGAGTTTAAACAGTCCTTAGGGCTTTTTTACAAACGCTGGCAGCGCAAGCAGCTGTGCCAGTGCGCTCGCCCCTGGCCCGGTTGCACACGATTATTAACTAGCACTATGCTACTCCACCCTGAGCACTGCCCTGAAAACCTGGTGATTCCAAAGAATCTGCCTGCTCCCCTGTAGAACATGCTCTAGCAGAATTGTTTTTAAGGGAGATTCTATTCTGTAAGTGGCTTTGATCCATGCAAAACAGATAGGAAGAACTGCGCCTATCGCGAAAATCTAGAAGCTCTTGAATCAACGACCTCCAGTGTTATACATCGAACAGTGCTTCTTGGATTTTTAGCATACATTGGCTTCAACTACATGACTGTTTTTTTTTATTAAAATTTCACTAACCTCGACATACTTCCAACAAATTTGTTCCTAGAGAGAAAGCGTGCATTGGGAGCTTTTCTTCAAGTATCATTTCATGTCTTCAACCCTCTTGCTCCCAGAGCCTAATTATTTAGTTTGACACTGTCCTGGATTGTGTCAGTCTACCTCTAATGAGCACCAATCAACGTGTGTTGGAAACACACAGAAATTTGGGTGTTAGTCACGTGCCTACACTTAGGTGACATAGCACTTGTGTCCGGTGGCATGAACGTGCTTATCGAAAACTTTCAAGTTAAAATGGATAAGACAAACAAGACAAATTGAAACTTTTCCTCGTTCCGGTGCCGTTAACTGACCCTTAGAATGGGAACAATCTGAAGCGTTGGATGTCGAAGTGCTTTCAGGGCTTTTTCTTTGTCCACCGCCAAGAACTGCTCATTCATCTTCTTTGAAAACAAAAATCGAATGGCATTTGGTGTTCCGGCGCTCAACACGACATCCTGAAAGCGATGCCTAAAAAATAAAGACAATCCACACAGTCGAATAGCACTTGAAGTTTTCAAATACACAAAAATGCACATCTAAAGTCACAGTGATTTGCGGCACTCCTGAATTGGTGTGTTCCCATTCTTAAGCAGGAGAGGAATCTAGGCAACTAGTCCCGTACTTCTGGTTACAAAAATGATGTTGACATTCTGGTAGTATATATGAGTAAATGTGTTGATGAAGTCGTTTACGGCCAGTTTACACAACGACACAATTTGCCCCTGGCATTATGGTGGAGAGATGTGAAAGCAACAGGAAGAATGAGATCCCTGATGACTAGGGTGCAAGACAGACTTTCTTGGTTACGACCTGGTGCAGTTTTAGGTTAAGGTATAGCAAATAATTACAATTCAGTTGTGGTCTATTAAGATCCAACTCTTCGGATCTTCTCATGCGATTTACCACAAATATCTCACTCAACCGCGCTTGGGTTGAGTTCACTAAACTCCATAAGCTCTAATAAACTTGCTTTCAAACTCATGCGTGTCTTTCAAGGGTGACTGTTAAGGTAGAGCCTATCTTCCTAAGGCATCTGTCATTACTGGAGTTGCTTAGTACAAATTAATAACTTTTGTACATCAGCTAGGAGCATCAATATTAACCATCCAAACAGTCCAACGTTGTTAGAGGTCAGAAATACCAGTGCCAAAGCCCATGTAAAATGCTGCTTTAGAGCGTAGCCGCAAGTACCGTTCGGATTAGGGCAAGTGAAGGAACATCACCGGCCACTTTTGCCTCCTACAAGATTGTTTTCCATTTTGGTGGCTAAACAGATGATAATTATTATTACAATGCCACACGGTTGCTGATCGTAAGCCAAGAATTGCCGGTAGGTACCAAGGATGTATGGGGGCAATAAGAGTTAAATTATGACTAGTATTATAATTTGTCGTTGTAGTAGTAAAGGGAGGATAAACACAAACATTTTTTCTATTTTTCTGCATGTATTTCGCGTAAGAGCACACTATTCCCCCCGATTAGACGTCTTCATTTCTGTATTGGTTCCTGGGAACTTTGTGTAGGTGGCCACAAGGCTTTTCTCTGTGGACTACGCTAGCTAACTCTTTTGAGGCGACTTAGGCCTTACCATGCGGATATCCCTGTTCATAGCATCCTTTTCCCACATTCGGTTGCACCAAGTGGAACTACAGTTTGTAAATTTATGATTTCTGATATTTTCAAAATTGTACTTCGTCTAAAACCATGAATCTAATGTTTCTGTCGGCTTGACGACTGATTGGAGCCAGATCATGCAAATCAAGTAACCAGTCAGGTTTTTGCTGTATTCATTACTTTGGTTAAATTTGTTAGGAACCCACTACCCCCGAGGCATACTATAAAGTCATTACATCGTTTAATCGAATGCCGTAACTAACCCAGTTTCATGGCTGCTTGGAAACTCATTCCCACTAGCGCTTCTTTTTAGGTTCATTGTACCAGATATAATGCAGAATATTCTAGGGATTGATGTGTTCCAGACTGGGGAAAATTGAGCCGATTATGTAGCGGAGTATCGTGAGGCGCACTCACTTCGTTGAGCACGACGCCTAGAAAGATCACCTCAGGAAGGAAGCAACCAGTCCAAGCGCATAGAAGCGGAGGATATTGTGGGGATATTATGGGACAATTATTCACTTCGCAAGACACGTAGACTATTTAGTAAATAAATATTTCGCAGATATTATTCTACTTTGAAAACGTTTTTTGAGTTAGCTTTACAAAAAATAGTGGTCAGCATACAGGGTCCTCGACAATTCTGTGGGTTTACTAGTTTCTATTTCAGCACAACTCCAATTCGAGATGAAAAAAACTAAATGAAGGTTCATTATGGGATGGACCATGGGAAAAATCAAATTAGGAGCTCAGTAGAATGCTGTTTCGTTCAGGTGCCCTAAAATCACCAAAACATTAAAGGTAGGCATGATCAAATTAGGGTTTCACTCCTTATAATGTCTCGTCACAATACCCGGTGTACATAATTGGCCGTAGCTTTAGTAATTATAAGGGTGGCTTTCTGAGAGAGCTACCACCATTGCTACTTCGAAGAAGCCGCCAAATGCGGAATCGGGTCAAGACCTTCATTAGTTCGGTAGGTTTGCGATGCTAGTTTACACCACGAGGCTTGCGCTTGGTAGAGTTACGAACTATGAGTTTACTTGTTCAGCAACACTGGACGGATCACAAACCAGCTAGTGAAGATGCCTGAGCGTAGAGCATTCCCTTCGGGCGGAATAACTTACTAAATTATGCAATTCGACTTCGTTTCTGAGGGTCTCATGCTCAAGAAAACAACGCAAACTGCGACCAATTCTGGGTACCTTTACCCACTGTGCACATTGGAGTCAGTGGTTGTAAAAATAGTTTTGCATACCTTCTGAAGCAAAATATTATTTGGCCCCTAACGTGGGGAAATATTTCTAGTTTTATCCCGTTTCTCAGGTTAGATACTGATCTGTGCCATTTTTTGAGCAAAAATTTTCCGGTTTTCATTACTTATTTTTCTGTAAAGTGTGACACTTTTTGTAGCAAAATGCACGTTTCGTGGTTTGTATCTACAAGGCTATTCCGAACCGATATTTTTCGTTCAAACTAAGCGAGGACAGCTCTCTCTGAAATGGAAGGCTTCGGGAATTTACAGATGGCTGCTCAGAGTTGTGTGCATCATCGTGAATGACCACGAGGCCCGGAATTTTATATTCTGTTCATAAACTTTTGAGAGCTTCCGCCGCAACAACGAAACTGCGCACAAATATCCACCTTACGGACGGTTTGTCTGTTTCACCATGTGGTGTCACAATCACTGCCACTTACTTGAGACGGTAGGTTTATTAAAATTGAGAGTATTTGTTGTAATTATTTAACTGTTAGTGGAGTCCACAGTACCAAAACCGAACGAATTTTCCCAACATTCTGTTCGGAATGAGATATCGGCGACACATCCGTTGGACCACCATTACCCTCGGTGGTCGTATCTGATCATGAATGTGTGTAAGTCAAACTGATTAAGTTCAAGTTTTTGAAAATACTAACTGGTGTTCAGTTTTTCTTAATGGATGCTAACGAAACCTGTCTTTTCACAGTGCCGACTGAAATGGAACTACTGGGCAGTGTCTTCAAAGCGTGTATTCTGCATTTCGTGGTACTATCCTCGGAGAATTCTAGACACTTGTCATGATTAGTTTCTGGTATAAAGGAAGGCCTACAGACTTCATGGCTCATGCACTCTGAAAAAAATAAACGAGAGCGTGTCCCACAAGCATCACCAGGGTTGGACGTTGCCTTCTTTTCTACAAGGACTTTGGACAAACAACACAGGAGAGACATTTGTTTGCTCAGCTTCGTTTCCACAAAGGCACTAAAGCTATAGGGCAATTCTAGCAACTTTATGAGCCAGATAAGATAAAAGACAGCAGAGTTGGGGAAATTCTACAACTTTGTGCGAATACATGATTTATTTTTCGGCCGGATTTCAAAGCCAAAGTATATAAGCAGTACACGTCAACTGTTTTCAAGGGATATGGAACCGTGCACACTCTTTTAGAATCCTAGCTCAGCTCCTGCGTCTCGCTGACTGCTGAACATTTATAGGACGTTTTTTTAAACGTTTTGGAACACCTTCGGTAAAAGGTAGGTGAAACAAATGGATTGTACAGATATAGTGGATGGTGATACAAGAACCAATGATATGCGGCATCGAGTCAATAACTGATGAAAAACAGCGCTGCGTGCACAAGCCTATAATATAGTTCCACAAAATTATTTATTTGCTTGTTGCGGATGTGATGTGTAGATTTCAGTGACCGTTTAGTGTTGTTTTTCAGTGTTTTCAAAATCGTATGCAATTCCACTTATTGCTTTTCGCTCTCTTTATTATTTACTCATTCACATTTCTATGGTCTTGATGGTTTATTATTATGAATTTTCCTCACTCCTTCAATGATTTTCAATAGCAGTCAGGTATTTCGGTTAAGACCACAGTTTGTTTGGGCTGAACTGGGAGTTTGTTGTGTTCAGCACCATGGATCGAAACGGTTGTTAAAATAAGGTAACACAATTAAGGTTCTGAACATCAGTTTGACGTCCAAATAGAGCACTGTCCAGCGAGACGGTATCACGCAGTCTTGGGGTATTAATTTCGAGAGCAATTTTTGGAGAGCAATAAGCATGCTCAAGAAGAAGATATCAAACATTGCGAAGTAAAATTTACTACTTCGCAAAACAAATGTGTTGACCTTGTTCCGGAAGAGGTCTCTGAGGGAAACTTTTTTGCTCCAGTAAGTGACAAGTGACTTCCAAAATGGCTTTTCTATTGTCCAAGGCAGGTTCAGATGTTTTGGATGTATGAGCCGTCATTGTCTTTCACTAGTGAGTCCACGCACGCTTTGTCCCTGTTTTTGTAAACAATTCTGTACTTTTGTGCATCACTAGCATCTCACAAACTGCATCGCAGTAAACTTTCTACAATTGTAACCATACACTTTATTCCATGATCTGATCACAGGATCCCACGTCGCAATGGCCCGAAATATCTTTGTAAAAAACTAAACTCCACTGGAATGTGTCAATTACAGAAACGATAATGTACTGTATCAACTTACCTAATTGTATGTGTACTCGCAAAACTACTTGTATCCTGCTTCTGGGAAGAACAACATTCTTTTTCCAAGCACCTTATGAACACCTGAATGGTTTTAGAATTGTTTCTTCTCATCTATTGAGAAACTGCTTAAAATGATTTTACTATTTTACCCCGAATGATTGCTTCTTTACCTTAGTTTTATTCTACTTTCTGGTGCATGACCTTTATGTGCTGATCGAAAATATCGTTTCCTGAGAGTTGCTTTTTCAGGCTTCGTTTTTTTCTAAATGCTGCTGTAAACCAGACTTTGGGGAAAAAAAATGAAAATGATAATTCATTTCGTTCATGGTCACACCATTCTCGTTTGAATGACCGTCCTCCTGTTCTG